ACCACGTTGCTTTACATTCCTAGGCATTTGATCACTATGATCTCCAGAGTCACAGTCCTGACAGCAGTGCTCTCCCACCAAGTGCCTCTGGCTCTGGCTGAGAGCCAAGTCTTAGAGAAAATTGGAAGACATTCACCCCAAGAGGATGGAAATGCCCACTTCCCTGTGTCACCAGAGTGAACAGACCCCAAATGCTTCCTTTCTTGTTTCCCTTCTGTGTTCGCTGTGATGTCTGACGGAAAGGGTGGGAAATGAAGAAAGATTTATTTTTAATTTGGTTCACACTTTCAGAGGGTTTATTGGGTGGTCTCTTGGCCCATGCGCTAGGACAGAACATCATGGTGATGGGAATACACGGTGGAATAGCCTTTTCACCTTGTAGTGGGGGAGAAGCTAAGAAATCCGGAACAGGAAAGGATCATGGGAAAAACAGAGCTACCCAAAGATACGTCCCTAGTGATCAACTTTCTCCCTCTAGGCAACTGCCTCCCAATGACCCATGAAAATTTGAATCTATCAGTAGGCAAAGCCTTTGGTTAAGTCAGAGTCCTAGCGATATGACTCTACCTGGAGACAGCCTCACTGACATACCCAGGGGTGTGCTTTCCTGTCTCTTTAGGCATTTTGTGCTGACTGATTTTTGTCAGCTTGACATAAGGTAGAGTTATCTGGAAAGAGTAACCTGAGTTGAGAAACTGCTCCTTCTAGATTGCCTTTGTGGGGTGTTTTCTTGATTGATGATTGATGGAAGGGCATAGCCACCCCTGGGCAGATAGTCCTGTGTTGTATACAAAAGCAAGCTGAGCAAGATATGAGCATCAAGCTTAAGCAGCATCTCTCCACGACTTCTGATTCAGTTCTTGCTTCCAGGTTCCTGCCTTGAGTTCCTCCTAACTCCTTCAGTAATGGGGTATAACCTGAGGGTTCTACGATTTAGAAATAAACCCTTCCTAACCCACACGCTTTGGGTCATGGTGTTTTAGGACAGCAATAGAAACCCTAAGATGATATTTAATCCAATGGAGTTGACAGGATTAACCACCGAAGCTTCTTAACACATTTACTTATTTAACATGGATTAACCAAATCCACTCAGTGCTGTTTACCAAGCTGATGAAGGCACTGAGCAGTCGGTGCAGACCCACAGGACTTCAGCCAGGACTACTGTCCTGGGCTTCTACACTATTTTCTGAATTCAAGTTTCCAGAACCTCACCAACCCATTGAGTGTCTCCCACCTCCTTTATTCCCCATTCCTCCACCTGTCAATCTCCTTGATCTACAATTCTGCCCACCCATCCCAAGAATAGTTCCTTTTTATAGGCCCTTGGCACTGTGCCTGATCGTGTTCCTTTGGATCTGAGGTCTCCATCATTAATGTCACTCCAGACTGGATTAGATTCAGACACACTACGATGTTTAAATCTGGCTCGTTAGAGGGAAGCAGCCGCCTTGATCACCAGCTTTTCCTGGAAGCCACTGTTCACTTTTTTCTCTTTCCATTTGGGTCATTGCCTGTCTTACTATGATACCTCCCTTTCCCCACGTGGCTTTCCACACCTGATGAATGTTTACTCTTCATTAGGGCATTACTCTTCATCTAGCCCTAGGAAGTTCCCACCCTATCCCCAACTCCCTCATGTTGTCTCTGGGATGTGCTTGTGCAAAGCTATCGAATGCTGTCAGTAAGGCATCTTTACTAGCACAATCTAGTTCTGCTGGAATTCTGTGCATAAGACATCTTGTTGTTCTTACAACAAAATGTCTGAGAAAGACTGTCAAGCTAGAAAAAGCTCTGTTTAGCTCAAGGTTTGGAGTCAAAGTCCAAATCACATGAGCCGAGATCTAAGGTTTCTCTAGTTTCATCACTGCATGGTGTGGGTGAGTGGGGAGAATATGTGCAGGAATGAGATTATATCTCAAACTAGAGCACAAAGCCCTGAGGTCTCACAATCCTTTCTAGGGCTCACCGGAAACGATCCCAGGACCTTTTATGAAGCCTTGAGTCTTAAAACACCATGGCCTCCAAATAGTGCCATCATGGGACCACTGTTTTAACAAGTGGACTTTTTTTGGTGGAGACACAATTAGACCACATAAAAGCCAAAGTGTTCCATCTCCTCTACTTGACTTTAAACTCCATGCATCTTAAAGCATGATTGTATGCGCAATGCCTGCCCTAGGATGTGACATGGAACAGAATGAGGAAATCCACACCTCACTTTTCAATTTTCCCACTTGAAAGATGTCACGTGCATATGTAAACAGGGTGGAATAGGCAAATGATGCTGCTGCTCTTTGATTCTATTTTCCGTAGTTGTTCTTCCCTTCAGTGATGTGCTGACAATGCTTACCAACTGGCTCAATGACAGAAGTCCCGCTTTGTGGTATTTCCATGGTGAAATACCCTCACTACAGCTCACTTCAAGCTGCCCACATGATGGTGCCCAGTGTGCACTTGGAGACAGAGTTGCACAGTGGACTCGTCATGTGCCTGTGGGGGGCAGGTCTAGTGCATCATGGCCGTCATTCTTTGTGTCTGTTACTTCCGGGTCCAGTAATTTCCGACTTAATTCTTTTCATCAAGCTTCACATTTCATGCTTGACCATGTGTCTTCTTCCTTCTACATCTTTTCTCTAGGGTCCTCTTTTCCCCGTGTCTGTGTGTGTCTGTGTGTACAGGAGCCTTTGATGATCCCTCAGATATCAATAATCCTAATTTCCTGGTGACAACTTTTTGACCCATAGTAAGTGGCAGTTCACTTTCCAAAGATAAACAACATGTAATTGTTTTGATGGTCAAATAACCCGATAGATATTAAGGTGACAATATGCTGTTTGGTAAGATGGTCTGTGTGGAAGGGGAAGGTGGTCTATATCCTTTATCAGAACAGTTCTGTGGGATGTGGAGACAAGAAAGACAACTAGCCCATAGGAAATGGGGATTAACACTCATAAAGTATATTAGGGGCATATCTACCTGGGAACCAGCTGTAATGATCTTACAGGACACTCATGATGGTTTGCTATTACATGGTCTAGAACTATATTCTTGCTTGACATGATATTGCTGTGAGCAGAACTGGCTATTACAGTGTCTTGTGCACCTATCTCATTCCATAGCTAGATTGTCAGGGGAAAGACAGAAACTTTCTATGTCTCCTATCACTCATGAAATTCAAGGAAGTGCTAGACAGTATATCTCAGGGATTGAAATCATCAGTCTGGCAGCAAGTGCCTTTACTCAAGGAGCCATCTTGCTGTCCTTGTCTGTGGTAATTTTGTACTTATCTTCCACCATGATTCCCACTGGAAAAGTGTTATATTTGGTTTTTAAGTTTTGGTCAATGTTTCTTCACAGTTCTTATTACCCTTCCTTCACTGTCACTGTATTTGAAAAAAATATAAATCACAAAGTAAAAAGAAACATTCTATTAATACAATATTCAAAGTAGATATTTCAATAGATGGAAGGCAAAAAAACCCTTTAAAGTCATATTAGCAATTAATTGGAAATTATGTGATACAAGTTGGTCCAACTTGAAGAAAATACAATTTCTAGAAACTCCCATTAAAAAAATTGAAATTAAGAAGAAAATTTTCACAGGAGATTTTTTCGAGGAAATTATCCACCCTCACATCACTACCAAATTAATTTAAAATTGAAAGTTTAATTTACAGATGCCTAACTTTCACTCAGAAAAGGAACACAAGTATTACACTAATCACCTTGTAGCAGCACAACTTCCACGACTTTGCACCTCACAACTCTTCATGCTCGCTACTTACTCTCTCAGTGAGTAATTTCCTTAAAACTCTGGATCCCTCCCATCCCCCCTTTCTTATTCTATTTGAAATGTCTGAGCTTAAAAGTACGTGATAAATGGGGGTTTTCTTATCTTAACACAACAAGGCACCAGAATTGGTCTCAGTTGAAGGAATTTGTACTCTAATTGAGCAAAGATTATCCTTTCAACTCTCCTTTGATATTTGGCATTGGACCAAAGAGTCTAAAATTAGCTAACTTCAGAATCCAGGTGCAGGCTAAGTGGAAGCAATTCCATTTGCCCCAGGAAGTCACAGGAGTTGGTGAAATAATTTAAGAAGGATTCCAGTTAAACTGCTTGCAGAGCCATGTCTTTCTGTAGAGAATGGAAAACCACCACACTGAGGAGCTGAAAGGGACCAGCAGGGACATCACTTAAGCACTCTCCCTCTTGCAGTTCAGATTGGAACGACGGACCTTTCCAAGCCTTGTTCTATATCAATAAAATAGGGTCCTTTTTCTTGTCCTGTTCACCCCTCAAAGGCACTTTGGGGACTAGATGAGTGAGCATGCTAGCATAAGCATCATTGCTTTCCATCATCACTGTGGTGGCTTCAAAACATGTCTACTTATAATTTACTGCTCCTTCCACATACATGTGCCAAGCTTAGGGACTCATTCTTAGCCGGTGGAACACAGCAAACTTCCATAACTAGGTCAATAGGTGACTCATCTGCCCCTGTTTCTCTTAGGATACTCACTGTGGAAGAAACCAGATGTCACATTAGAAGACTCACTCTTCTGAGACGGCATGTTATGGGGAAGCCACATAAAAAGACCTAAGTAGTCTCTTTGGCTACAAGTTCCAACATTCATGTATCTTCCAGGCTGGGGCACCATAAATGTGAGTGAGTGAATGAGTGAGTGAGTGAGTATCCAGATAATTCCAGGGCCCAACCAACAAGATAACCTGGATTTTGAACCTTCCTAGCTGAAGCCCGAAACATGAGAGAGTGACAGGCCAGTTTTTCTCTGCTGCTTCAGAACTCCTGACCCACCAGTCTATGAGCATATGAAATGGGTAAGGTCATGTGTGGGTGCATACTGTGTGCTTTCTGGCTGATGTGTACTAAGTGTAATGTGGCAATGGTCACTGGAACAGTCACACTGGGCAATGGCAATCACAATGATGTAAGAACATGTTTAAAACCACAAACTTAGCATTCCTCTTGGAGATGGCTTGGAATCTAAGTCATGGTGGCAGCAATGTGACAGCAAACCGTGAGGATGAAGTTAGATTCCGTAGACAACTAGAAGCCCTTAACTCTGATGAAGAATACAGTGAGCAAGCTTCCGAGGGCCAGCAGTTATCTGTAGGCATTTTCGGGGGATGGGATTCAGAAGTGGCGGTAGAGGAAGAAATGAGAATTTTTTCAGACAAAGATTTCCAGAAAATCATCCTTCATTTCTTCTGATGAGACATGACAACAGTGAAGATCCATCGGGGTGGAATGGAAACCAATCTGAAGAGAGACAACCACAAATAGAAGGAAATCAAGTTTCCTTCAGGAGATTTCATGACTGTTCCCAATCTCGTGGCCACCCCATTAACAGATCTCATGGTCACCACTCCAGATCTCCTAGCCCCTTCAGGAGAGCTCCTGTCCACTCAGATAGACCACATCATGACCACTTAGATAGACCACATCATGACCACTGAGATAGACCATATCATGACCACTCAGATAGACTCCATCTTGACCACTCAGATAGACCCCATCTTGACCGCTTGGATAGACCCCAAGATGACCACTCAGATAGATCCCAACATGACCATTCAGGTAGACAACATCATGAATACTCATAGACAATATCATGACCACTCAGATAGATTCCATCTTGACCACTCAGGTAGACCCCATCTTAACCACTTAGATAGACTCTAACATGACCACTTAGGTAGACCCCCATCATGACAACTCAGATAGACCCCATCTTGACCACTCAGATAGACCCCATCTTGACCACTCAGATAGACCTTATCATGACAATTCAGATAGACTACATCATGACCACTCAGACCCTGTCTTGGCCACATGGAAGAGCCCATCTTAGCTGTGCAGGGCTAGCTTATTGTGGCCAGAGAGGGAGAGATCATCTTAATCACACAGGGCTGGCTCTTCCCAACCATGCAGAGAGAGCTCATCTAAGCCACACAGAGCTAGCTCATAATGAACACAGAGGGAAAGCTCATTGTGGTCAATGAGGGAGAGCTCCTCCCAACCATACAGGGCTAGTTCATAACAACCATGCTGGGAGAGCTAATAATGACCACTTAGGGAGACTTCATCCTGGCCATGTAAGGAGAGCTCATAACAACCGTACATGGAGATCTCGAAGTCTTGAAGAGAGATATCGTGGTCAAAGAGAAAGATTTAGACGAATCCAAACATCACCGGAATCTGACCCTGAAATTGACAGAACTTCTACAATAAGAGAACAGTCTGAATACTTATTGGATCAGGAACAGCACAGAAATGAGCTAATTAATCTGAATGGAGGGCTGATAGAAGAAGGCTACGGCTCTGATCAAAGTGACAAAAGTTCTGACAGTTTATGGAGACCTGAAGTTGATGCTGAATTCCTGAATGGTAGATACACCACAATTAAGACTATTCCACGTCACCCAAAAGGAGTACGACTGAGCTTCAATATTGGAGCGCTTAATAATCAGACTAACCTGTCGCTCCATACTAGATTCACCATAATGAGGACTTTGAGACGTGCCAGATTGAACAGTATGAACAATGGACAAGGAAGACAGGAAGACTGAACTGTCCTTTCCTATCAAGGGTTAGCTGCTAATTGCACTGAACCATACTTAGGAGCATAAATATATTCTTAGAATGTTGGACTTTAGACTTATTATTGAAGTACTTTCTTAGGTAGGGTTTGATGCTAGGGTTTTGTTGATACTAAGCACTTGGATGGAAAATTTGTTTAGCATTGCTTGCATAAGAGAACAAGGAGATGAGCAAAAAGAAAGCTGGCTTAAGTGGATTATTTTAGGGAAACGGCTATCTTTAGAATGATAAGGGTTTTTTTCAATGTGAGAGAAAAGTATAATTTACTGTAGTCCTTAAGCTGTGGAACCTATATAGCTGATAAGAAAGTTCTCTCCACAAAAACCAATCCCTGTTAGTAACTTTAACTATTGTATTGCTAAAATAGAAAACTTTTGTACTGTTACATTTTATAGAAATTGGTACTGTAACAGAAAGTGAAGTGTTAACATCCTCTGTTGTTGGTTTTATAAACACATGAAAATTAATGATGTGTACGATCATTGGGAAAAACAAACAAACAAACAAACTTAGCCTGTGTGAGGCACTGTGGCCAGAACTCCAGACTTCTCTCGCTTCTTCCTGGCTCATCAAAACTAAAGCTTGGGGGCTGACGGTTCCCATAGAGCTTAGGGCTGAAACCCTGTCTGGCCACAGTCAAAGCTCACCCAGCCTAAGCTGCAGCTGAGTTGTCCATGCAGCTGACTTTGCCTGTGTCTTCAGTCTGTGTGCTTCCTCTGGTCCCTCTCTTGTCCCATTTGAAGAGCACCCTCACCCCTGGTCACAGAGAGGGAACTAATGCCTCAGACTCCCTTTCTGGGAAGAAGCAGAAGGGACTGTCTCCTTTGCCTGTGGCCAGCCTTTGTTCATTTGTTTTTTCTTTTGTTTTAAGGAATAGAGCAGTCTGCTATGGGTGTCACATCAGTGGTGATATGTTTATCACTAGGACTTTACTACTTCATATCTCATGGGTAAATCAGGTGATGTGCAATGCTAACCTCTTCACTGATAATAGGCATTTGTTTAGGGCTTTAAGCTTACAGACTATGTTCACATTCACTGACGTGGGTGGCATTAGGTTTTGGATATGAAGTGTCTCTAAGACTCCGGTATTAAAAGCTTGATCCCATTGTCTCAATGTTCAGAGGAGAGCCCCTGGGAGGTGACTGGATCATACAGTACTAAACTCATCAGTGGATTAATTCGTTGATGATTTCACAATTGGATGAACGCTGGGGGAGGGGAAGACTTGGTTAACTAAAGTGGGTCACTGAGAGTGGCTCCTGAAATGGATTATCTTGTCTTTAGGTCTCTTCACATGCAGGCTCCCTGTCCTGTGAGTCCTGGTGGCCATGAAGTGAGTAACTTGGTTCCACCATGGTGCCTTGTTTCACCACAGCCCAGGAGCAATGGAGTCCGAACTTCTGAAAGCGCGGTTAAGTTCAGCCCTCACTCCTTTCAATTGTTCCCAGGGTTTTGCTGTAGCAGTAGAAAATTGACTAACATAAAGGCTCAAGTTCCCTTAGAGGACCTTTGAGGTGGTTTTATCCCATACACATGTGAAGAAATAAACCAGAATCATCTTGCTCTAAACCCATGGCAGGTGAGTGAGTGACAGACCTGAGGTTCAAATCTGGGTCTTCTGTTTCCACGCTGTGCCCTTCATAATACACTCCAGTTGGGGGGAGCAAAGATGAAGCTACATCTTCAGGGTTGACATCTAAAGGGAACATGACCAGCCTCACACTATTGGACGGGAGATCTCATGGTTCACAAAGCTCGTTTCTTTGCAGTAGAGATGTACCAGCCTCCCCTTGGCCCATCCTCTTGGGGTCTAGCAAGGCAGCATCCTAAAATTTCTTCTGCTTTAGGTTCACAGACACCACCACCCCTTACACATGCCTGTGATTAGTGTAGTTTTAACAGAAGGGGATGGCTCCATTTGGAATTTATAATCCCAGAACTGGGCAGGCTGAGAAAGGAGGATTGAATGCTCATGGCTCGCCTAGGCTACATAGTGATATCTTGTTACAAACAAACAAAAACTCAGAAAAGCAAATCAGTGACTACTGAGATTCATAGCTCTGACTTCCCCATGGTGAGAAAACCAGAGCTCCCAGTAGCAACCTTGTAGGTAGCGAGGTCGACATCTGAGGCTTAAATCGGGAAATCTTATAAAAAAGAATAAGGAAGAAATGCACATACTGGGGGCGGGTACGTACACACACACACACACACACACACACACACACACACACACACACACACACACACACCTTTAGACCTACACATCTAAGTCAGGCATTAATTCTATGACTAAGATGTTCCTCCAAGAAGTCATTTTGACAAATGAGACTATAGTGTCCAAACTGTGACCAGAGCCACTTCACCATTCATATGTCATTTAAAGGACATCTCACTTTACAATAAAAGTGTTTCATGTCAAAGTGCTTACTGAATGGCCACTTTAAGGATGAATTGTAGTACTCCCACAGTCCAAGAAATAAAACTGGCTTTGTTAATGCTGAGTCTTAGTGCAAAGCTGGAAGACTGGATGGAATTCTGGCCTGCACTTGCAGATGTTTGGAGACCTGCTCAGTCAGCTTTCCTGGAAAAACAGGCCAGCATCCTACTGTATTCCCCCGGTGCTGGTCTTGTCAACATGGGGATCAGTGACAGTGAGTCTAAATCTCGGGTCTCCTCGGTCCCCTGAACACAAAGAGAAAGATGCACAACAATCAGTTAACAGATGATGAAAATGTGGTTATGGAAAGGGAGGGGGGCTTTCCGTTCTCTTTCAGGCAGGCTTCATGACATTTCAGAGAAAAAAACTAGACCTGGATTTCTTTTTTCATCATGACACAAATGAAAAATAATAGATATATGTGTGTGAAAATATGGGGAATGTATGAAGAAGGAAGGGATATTTAATTATCCAGAATTATCTAAGCTGACATCTGGTGCCGGGCGGGAGCTTTTGTCTCACTTTATGTGTTTGTTTCAAGTTCCATCTCAGGGTTATCTGAAATTGCATTGACTTCAGGGCTCAAATCAGACTGGGAATCCCCACAGGCAGGAGCCAGTGTACCATTGAAGTTCACCTACCCTTGACAAGCAAGCAAGGGGACAGCATGACCCCTGTTATCTGGACTTGTGTTTCTTTTATCTAGAGTCCCTGACACATTTGGTGTGTTGTGGGAAACTGTCGACAGCACAAAGATGCAAATCAGGGTTTTAGCACTCTGCTTAATATAAAGGAACAGTATTAAACACTGTTTGAAGTGCTCTAGTGGCCCAGAATGGTTTCTATTCCAGGAGTGTCTTAGCCCTGGGTAGCACAGGTCCCCTATCTTCTGAAGAACAACAGCCAAACCAGGGTCAACCCAGGGCAGCTCATGAAGTGCTGCTCACTTTCAGAGCTCTCCCAAGCCACTCTGTCTCTGCCATATTGCCCACTGGTCTAGTAACCAAGCTCATTATCCCTCGCCACACAGACTCTCCTTCACATGGGAAACCGGTGGCTGATGCTTCAGAGCACAGTCAGCCTGAAAGACTAACCTGGACAGCTCATCCCAGGCTACGCTGGCCACTTCACTAAAAGCCATGTCTTTCATTTGTCCCTTGTCTGTCTCTCTTGGATCTGGAGAGAGAAAAAAAAATGATGATGCAAGTTAGTATCTCCTGCTGGTTTTTCCAACTTCGGCTGAAACCGTCCTAAGATACACTTAGCTTTACAAATTGTTTTTAAATAAACACATTAACAAAAACTACAGGGATCTCAGTTAGCACCTAAGAGGTAATTTATTGTTTGGACAGAAGTTTGTCTTTATCCACTGTCCTTCTCCCATGAGGTAGACTCCAGGGAATGTCCAGGCACAGCCCCTGAAAAGGATTGCAATGAGTTTGGGTACCCACAGTAAGCCGAGAGTTGCAAGGCTTTGATGACGAGTGTGTGGCTTCCCCATAACTGCTATATCAAATTCTGTATAAAAGTTGGTCTCACATGCATAGGCACCTGCACTTTCAAAATGTATACTTCTAGAGCTACATGGGAGGGGAGAAGGGAAGAGATACTATGTGATGACTTAGCCTCTTTCAGGTTATAGAGGGGCAGAAAGGACCTGCAGGCCTGTCCAATGGCCTGCTTCACTTCCAGCTCTGTTCCCAAGTAAGAAAGCCATTGTGGGTTGGAATTTGTTCTGGGTCCAATGGCAGGTTTTTGGGCTTCTGGGTTCTCATTGAGATGCCAAGGAAAAGATTCTCACTCCTGTCACCTGGCATACTCCAGGGTCTTGTGATCTTCCCAGAATAGCAGATAGGCATGGGCCTGGGAGACAAAGCCAGGCCAAAGAAGCAGAGGCAGGCACACCCAAAGGCCTCTTGGTCACACCCCTCTTCTCCAACAGAGAAATAATATCTACAATAGCTCTCTAGCTTCCTTTTATATTTTTATTTATTTTATTTAATTTTATGTGTTGGGGGAGTCTATGAGCACATACATGAGTTCCTGTGCCCTTGGAGGCCAGAGGTGTCAAATCTGTCTGAAGCTGACTTTATAGTCACTTGTGAGCCACCTGACATGAGTGCTTGGAACCGAATTTGGATCCTTCGAAAGAACGCACAGGCTCTTAACCACTTAGCCATCTCTCCAAGCCCCTTAGTTTCATTTATCCCCAAATTTTCATTCACCTCTCTAGTATTCTGAGGGAGCTACCAGGAGTCTAATCACATAATTCCATGGCTGACCTTACTGTGGATGGAAGCAGTGTCCCATGAGATACCTTTGCATGGCCAACGGGAACAGGATAACTCCCGTAGTTTGGTGAACTGTCTCATGAAAGCCAACCTTCTCCAGAAAGCACTGTCACTTCCCTGTACTTTCTGCTCTCTTTTCCTTCAGGAGGGAGGAGACAACCCATGTGGGCTGTGAGGACAAGGAAGCTCCATCCAGAGTCCAGTCTTCTCCTGAGTCATTCTGTCATCATATATG